CTCCCTTCTTCTCTCTCATCCCTCCACCCCTTCCTCTTTCCCAGCCTTCTCCTTCTGCACCAATGAATGGGTTTGCCCAGCAGGCGAAGAGCATGAGTGAGGATGGCGAAGACCATCATGAGCAGGTTTAAGCCAGGTAGGGTTCTGATTTACTTAAATGTAGGTTCGAGCCAGCGGGTTCAAGCCAAGTTTTAAATTTAAATACATTGTTTGTTTTTACTTAAATATAATATATTTGAATTTCATCTAAATATATGTATTTGAAACTTTGTATTTCAAAGTTAAAATTACATATATTTCAAATACATCTTTTAATTCATAAATTTCAATTCTAACTTCTTATATTTCATCAAAATAATTAAGAAATGGTTTAATTTAATAAGAAATTTAATTTTAAATACATTTTTTTTTTAACATTTTGACACGGGATAGGTTCGAAACTCGCCCAGGGGAGTGGAGAATGCACCTAACAAGCTGACTAATGCCAGTGAACCTCTAAGCGCAGGTGCAAATACACTACATTTTAACATATCTAAATAATATATTTAAATATATATGTATTTTTAATCCAAATAATATATTTTGAAATATATGTATTTAAAATTCATATATTTTAAATAAATATATTTCAAAGACACAATCATTTTAAATTGCTTGCCAATTATCTAAGAAATTTATGAAATGCTCCAAGAAATTTTTTTTTCCTTAAATCTAGAACCCAAGCAACGCTAATTTGATAAAACCATTTTTAGATGCCTCCTTTAACCTGACTATTATTCTCAATGGGCATAATCGAAACATGAAAGCTTCTGCTTTTGATAAAAGCTTTCTCAACCCCGACCTTCGAGCTGCCAAAGACAACCCACAGTTACAAATTGCAACCCAGAAACACCCAAAACCCAAACCCAAAGGCACAAACAAGTAAAGACAAAACAAGTCCCAAAATCCTAATCTTGCAACAGATCAATGGAATTGCAAAGTCAAAGCAGAAAAACCCTAAAAATGCGAGTAAATGAGCAAAGGAAAGGGGGGGGGGGGTTTAGGACGCACCTCGCGCTGGAGTGGGATCCAAATCCAAGGTCCCGCCGGAGATGATGACCTCCTCTCTCATAGAGTGGGATCCAAAGTCACTGGGCTTCGTGTTGACCCAATTAGTCCAGGCCCAATTTCATCTTCTTCCTCCTCCCGTCCTCTGCCGGTATAACTTTTGTACCAGGGTTTGGCGAAGAGAAAATAAGAGCGAAAAAAAAAAAAGACGAAGAAGATGGAGGAACCCAAGAAAAGTAGTATTCTAGTTTTGCCATGGATGAGGAGCCCTGTAGATGTTAGTCAATTTTGAAGATTGCCCACTTAATCTTGTCCCTTTTCTTGATCCCAGGTAAGTGTAAAATATATACAACGTATTATGCCAAAGATTATAACTTTAGTTCTGAATTCAATGTCTCTCTCTCTCTCTCTCTCTCTCTCTCTATATATATATATATATATATATAGCCATCTTCATGACATTTCATGGTGGTACTTTGTGGCGCATCTTGTTTTTAGAATAGTAAGAGCTGTAAGTGGGTTACGAACTTTGAATTTCTGACAAATTCTGTAAGAAGTATGGGTAGCAGCAGCTTGTAATGACACCAACACATTGCAAGAGTATGAAGCAGGTTCCTGTTTAATATGCCATGATTGAAAACTGGCTAGTATGGAGATTGCATGTGGATGATTGGATGAATATGCTTCTGCTGTAAATTATATGTTTTGGATTTTTCAGTTGTTAGCTCTTATTCTGAAACTTATGCTAGGTGACTGAAATTTGGGTTACTGACAGTTGAACTTGTTAAGACTTGAATGCATTTTTCTTATAAATTTCTTTTGAGCTAGGTTGACGGTGGTACTGCAGAAAATGGGTGTTTCTTCACTCTTTCTGGTGCAAATAGCAGTTTGGCAAGAGACAATAGTGCCTGGTGCTTTTGAGCGAGATCTCTGCATAAATTTGCCAACAGGAAGTGGGAAAACTTTGGCTTATGCTTTGCCAATAGTGCAGATGCTATCGACTCATTGTGTAAAGTGTCTACGTGCTCTGGTTGTGTTGCCTACCCATGATTTAGCTCTACAGGTTAAATGCCTTATCACATATACTGCCTCAATATATTATCTAGGACTCTTGTGATTCTACTACTCAGTCTTAACCTGTTTGTGGGTTGTTGGCCTTTATTTCTCTTTTTTGGTGAAGGGAATGACAGATACAAATACAATTAACTTTTCTCTAAATTTAAGACTTCTTTTATTTTCTTGAAGGATTGAAGGAAAAATTTATTGTTTACATTAGTAAACTGAAGCAACAGATTTTGCCTTTTGATTTACCTGCGGTATCCTGAATAGTCAAGTATGACTGGAATTTTTTTAAACCTAATATGTAAATGAATACTCACACACACACACACATATTTCTTTTTTGCATTACTTTTCTTTGATATGGTTCTCCTTCAATTATTCTGGTTGATTATTTTACCTATTGTGGATAATTTTATTGCTTAAGTATTGTTTCTAATTAAGAATGCAACTTTTCAGGTTAAGGAAGTTTTTGCAGCCATTGCACCTGCAGTAGGCTTATCTGTTGGTTTGGCTGTCGGCCAATCTTCAATTGCTGATGAAATTTCAGAACTTATTGAGAAACCTAATCTCAAGGCAGGCATCTGTTATGACCCAGAAGAAGTTACACAAGCATTGCAATCTTCCGTTGACATACTGGTGGCAACTCCAGGAAGGCTAATGGACCACATTAACACCACCAAGGGATTTACACTTGAGCATCTCTGTTACCTTGTAAGTCGATGCCACCAATTACACAAATTATATGTATTTCAGTTTAATACATGAATGTTTATTCATACTTGATACTTTTCTTAAGGCCTTCATGTCAACATTTCAAGTGATAGTACTATGATATGTGTTTTCCCCAAATATTATTCATCTGGCTGAAACATTTTACTGGAAACTTGGCTATTAAGAGAAAGATTACTCTTGCAAGGTTTTGCTACCATCTCTCAATGACTATCTTTTCTCTAGTTCATTCTGGACCTAAGGGATGAAAACTTTTCAGAGACATGGAGAGAGACACCTATTATGGTGATATCTCATATCTCCTTCACTTATATACGGTGGGTCACGAGGCTGGAAATGAAATTCATTGTGAAGGAGAATGGAAGCGATCTTATCATTCTTTAGTTTGAGTGAAATTATGTGGGTAAGTTAGATGCTGATGAAGAAAATATTTGCAGGTAGTTGATGAAACAGATCGCATGCTTAGGGAGGCATATCAGTCCTGGCTACCAACAGTGCTTCAATTAACTAAATCTAATTATGATATCCTCTTTTTACCTCTACTCATCCATTTGTTCCATCGATATTTGGTTCCTTAAGAACCATTAGGCGATGGTAAGTTCCAGATTCTTTCTACATAGCTTTCTTATAGTTGTGCCCTGAGATTCTGCAACATGTATAGGGTGCTAAATGATAGGTTAATGCCTTAAAAGTGGTTTCATTTTTATTGAAACGTATGATTTGATATCAATAATGCATATGTCTACATATTTACAAACACCCACTACATACATAATAGATAGACATATATAAATATTCATCTGAATTAGCTATAACTCCATTGTAGAATTGTCGATAATTTTAAGGTGATCTGAAAATTTTAGGTTTTATGTAGCCTTTTTTCTTCTTGCTTTGCTTAAGTAAAGAAGATAAAATAAAATGGAGTCTATAGAAGGTGCTAAATCAAAGATGTACTCTGGGAAATCAGAAATTGGGATTGTTTTCTAATTATTGAGGCTAATTTCTATTCTCTGGAAATTCGGAATGCTTCTTGTTGTGTATTGTTGAAGTAGTCATATTTAGATTTTGATATCTAGGTTCTTGGGATAAGCTAAACACTGCTAATGAGTTGAAAGTTTTCTCAGCCTTGAATTAAGGAGACTGGTTAATACTTTTTGTGTCTAAGGATGGCCCAATATTGTATGAAAGAAAAAGAGAACTAGTTTTTATGAATATCCACCGCTAGCTATTAGTTTTATATAAACTTCTTGCAGTGGAGTTGAAAGGGGTTTCAAGAGTAAATCTTATCCAAGGCTTGTGAAGATGGTATTATCTGCTACATTAACCCAAGATCCAAGCAAACTTGCTCAGCTTGATTTGCATCACCCTTTACTATTGACAACTGGGAAGAGGCGTTACCAACTCCCTGAAAAATTGGAATCTTATAAGCTGGTATGTGTCTATAACCCTTCTGGTGTGCGGTTTCTTGGACATTTCAAGCAGAATATTCTCCTGACAGCCATTCAGAGATCTTTTTTCTTTTTTTTCTCATTCTCAAGTTAGTTTTCTATGTCTTTTTGTACAGATATGTGAATCAAACCTCAGGCCCCTTTATCTTGTTGCACTTCTACAAGATCTAGAGGAAGAGAAGTGCATTGTCTTATCATCATCCACAGAGTCTACCCATTGCCTCTGTACCTTGCTAAATCTTTTTGGTGATTTGAAAATAAAGAACAAGGAGTATTCAGGTCTCCAACGACAATCTATAGAAGGTAATCTGCAAACTCATTTCTTTTCATTCGTAATTTCTCAATTGAGCTTTATCTGCTCTTTGTGGTATTTTTTGGCAATATAATAAGTCTCTGATTGATTTAGCGTTTTATAAACCTTCTAGTTGTGTTATGCTTTAATGGTTTTTGATAATTATTAGGTGAACTGAACATTGATGTCACCATGTTACTAGCCTACTTAGGCACTAAAGAATGACATTGGATGCTGCCCAAGCACAATTTGATAACGTTTGTGATAATTGTATTATAGTGAGTGGTGGAAAAATATTCATTGATCTTATTTTATTTATTTCTGCTGTTGATGGTAGCAAGACACACTTAAATCAAGTGGCAAGAATCGGGTAACAAAAATTTGACCTTTACATGAATCAAGTTGTATGACAGATCACTTCTTTTGGACTAAATAGTTTTGGATGGGTTTGCAAGAAAAGCTGATCCTTTTAAATCCCTTTCCTTCCACAAAGACTAGTCAAACTAGAGAATCCCTTTTCCTTCATTTTCTATTTAGTGTATACCTCCCAGTACCCTCCTGACAATGGATAAGAATTGCATGGATGAATATATCAGTCATATGGAACCTGGAACATAATGAAAGTTTGATGGTCATTTTATCTATGAGAAATGGAATCAGCTCTATTCATAGTGTAACCTTCTGTGTTCTAGGTGACAACTTTAAATGACACCAGACACAAATACAAGATTTATGAGGTTATTTCAGATAATCTAAAATTTTTTTGGCATAATGAAATCCATTGTTCTGCTGTAGCAAAACATTGAAAGCATTCCGAGATGGGAAGGTACAAGTACTTGTTTCCTCCGATGCCATGACTCGTGGAATGGACGTTGAGGGGGTGAGAAATGTCATTAATTATGATATGCCTGCATATATAAAGACCTACATTCACTGAGCTGGTCGTACTGCAAGAGCAGGACAAGCTGGGCGTTGCTTCACATTACTACGCAGACATGAGGTGTGCAACCATTGTTATTGCTTCCAGTCCAGGAGTATGATATGTGAAAATTTGACCTGCTTAGCAGTTGTGCAACTTATCATGCTTTCAATTTTTTCAGGTAAAGTGTTTCAAGAAGCTATTACAAAAAGCTGATAATGATTCTGTTTCACTGTATTTCTGTTCCATCCAGTTCAATTGAATCCCTTCGAGATAGCTATAACTCTGTTAAATTCCAGGCTTGTTATCTTCCTATCAATGGTAAAGCTAACAACTAAATTGGTCAAGTGGCAGCTTTGGATTCTAGATGCACTTGGTTTGACTTAGAAGATCCATGCATTCCTTATATCATTTCTAGTCTCTTTCTTAGATGATTTTGATATACTGCTCTCTCTTTTCAATATGCTGCTCTTGATTACTTAATAGCTGATAGCAAGAGGACTAGGTGATCCAGATGATTTGACCTTTTGAAAGCTTGTTTTCTTTTTATAATTTTAATTCTTGTGAGGTTCATCCCTTCATCAAGGATGGTTTTGTTTAGTATAAAGTACTAAATGGTACTTTTAGAATTTTTCTTTAGTGAGAGAGCCGCTGTTGGGGTGAGTGCTGGTTCTAGCTAATAGTAAGACTCGCAATTTTTTCTTGTTATGCAAAAATTGATTTCCTTATGGCCAGGTTTCATGTTTTTAATGTATCAGTGCTGGAGAAACTGAAAGAGGAAGTTGAATCAGAAACATCTCGGAAGAGAAAACTTCGTTCCAAGTTTCCCAAAATGAGCGAGTGTGGAAACAGACAATCAGAAGGCATGATATGCCTTGCCAAAGCAAGGAGTTCCTCCTACACTGCTGTGTAATATTTTTGTCTGAGAAATGGCTATTGTTTGATGCAGTGCTAAAGCTTCCACATTCATTGGTGCGCTGGCATTTTGTGCAATTTCTTCATGCCCATGAACCAAAGTAACTCAACACTGAATCTTGTGTATGGACCTGGATAACACCCTGCATACCAGTAGCAGTTTTAGCCTTTCAGGTGCAAAATATACTACTTTTGCTGCAAAACTGTCAGAAGATGAGAGTTTAGAAGCTCAGGAAAGCAAATGATATTAAAACTGTTTGATTATGTTCTTACAAATACAAATGTACAACTATTGAATGTACTGAGATTGTGCTCTGAGCCATAGTAGGCATCGACTGTGTTATGATCATAATTTGTGTTGAAAACATTCAGAATCCAGTGGATCGACTCTTGTTACTTTAGCTGATGAAAATTTTCTTACTCTGTACAAGATGGAAATTACGCTACATAGCATGCTGTTTCATCATTATAGTGCTTAGTACAGACTGCATCAAAATCAAGTTACATTAGTTCTCAAAGATGGAAAAAGAACTCTGCACTCCATTGAGGAAATACATGGAGTTAGCTGAAGCAACAGCTACAGCAGCAGAAGAGGAAGCAGCAGTAGCAACAGCAGAGATGCAAGAGGAAGAACTTGAACGAGAATCACTGTTGCCAACGTCTCTGTCCTCCTCACTTATGGTATCCATCATCTTCCTTGACCTGTACCTCATGACACTAATGAACTGAGGTGGAGCAACCTCCATGACAAACCTGGAGAGCCGAGAACTTGCCATCTCCAAAGTTTCAGGAAGAAGGGAGTACCAAGGAGAAGGGTGGAGAAGCAGTTGGTGTTTGGATGGAGCACAAATGCAGAATGTGGATGAGATTTATAAGGACATGCTTTGGCCTAGATTGAGTCAGGTGTCCTATCAAAATTACCTGTTAGTGCCGACACTCGCTTTTGGTATTAACTAAATGAGGTCTGATGTTCCAAACACAGGTACAGGAAATGTCTGCATTTGGTGGGATATGTGTCATCCTCTGTGTGGATATTCAGATATCTCTATGGATATCTATTTGTCGGGATCAATGGCTTTCCAATTTGCACTTTCAGGGCGGCCATCGGTTGCCTGAAACCTGTCCATTGATATTTCATGTTCTTCATCTAAGAGGATGAGGATTGATTTGATGATATATATCCTGCCACGCACTTTCGCCATTTGTGTTTGGGTATAGACAATTTTAATGAATAAGGCCTGCTTTGTTTGAAGGTAAAGTTTCATCTAATGCCTATAAATGACGTGGTTTATAGGTATGCATAGATTCAATAGTGTTAAACACTTGGATAGCTATATTATCCACAAAAAGAACAGAGTTAAAACAAATTTTAGTTAACTCTATTTACCAAATCAAATAATTCAATAATAATTTATTTTTTATAGAAGGAAAGGTATTGTGTTCAAATGGTATGATATGTGAGCAAAATAGGTTAAGAAATAAAAGAGATTACTGTAATTCAATAATAATCTATTTTCTATTGAAGTAAAAAGTGTTAAGTACTGATAACTTATTAGTTAGAGTAAAAAAAATTCCATTCTTCTACTTAAGTAAGGTATGAGTTTGAGTCTTATGAATAAAAAAATAAATACAGAGAAAACTTTCTCTACGACAAAACTCAAATTTAAATTAGTTGAGATCTAATATAATTTTCGGATATTAAGAGATTTAGTACAAAAAAAATGCTGAATGCAAATTACATAATATACGAGTAAAGTATATTAGGGAATAAGAGAAGTTATTTTTTATTCTATAACTTATGATTTAAAAAAGTTATTAAAAATTAAGATATTTTTGTTTTTAAATAAAATTTTATTAAAATAATATAATTTTAAATTTTTTACTTAAATTTTTACAATACAAATTAATACTCACTTTTTCAAATTTGAATTAACTCAATATTCTGTTATGGATTGAAATTTTTTTATTCGGTTAAGTATTTTTGGCATTTTTTTTATTGTTAAATTTAGAATTACTGTGATTCAAATTTATTTGTATAATTGAGTGTAAAAATATTTTACACTTTGAATATGGTCAACAATGCCGTTTTTTTGGCCGGAAACATAGGAATTATTACTATTACTACAAACGAATACATTGTCCAGATCAATCAAACAAAAAAAAAGAAAAAAGAAAAAAAAAAACTGTCCAGAAAGCATGCAGCACAATGGAAACAGTAACTCAAACAAAGCTTAAAAACAGGTGGAGCACGCAACCCGTCCTTATCCAGAATGCCAACCAAACCACGAGGAGCTAGGTTGATTAATCCAGTTACCAGGGCATAGCTGCTTCCCATATTGGTTGGACAACATTGCTTATCCTCCATGGCAATGGCATCAACAGTCGCTCACTGTCTCTAACATGTTCAACATTTTACGTTATGATTTGAATCCACCTTGGTATTTTTTTTTTTTTAAATTTTAAGAACCAACCAATATATTAAACTAATTTAGTTTTTTTGGTTTAGAAAGATAGACAAGTTTTTGCACAAGACTAACGCTTCTTGATAATTTTAAGGATGCACCCTTTTTTAATGGCCTAATACTTCTAAAAAAATTAATATCCTTGAATCTTAAACTTAATATGCAATATAACACTTATTAATGAATTCAATCCGTAGATTATCAAACTAGCTAGTTTAGTTTGCATGTCTTGAATTAAATCTATTTCCTTGTGCAATTGAAGGAAAAAGACATGTAAATGAGGTTAAGGAATGTTGTCTCTTATTATCCAGTCCAAAGTACAAGAAAAAAAGACATGTAAATAAGAATTTGCAGCTGACTGGATGTATGTCAATTCATGCACTAAATTGCCTAATTGAGTGAAAAATAATTAACCAAAACTCTTTTTATATAGGTAACGGTATAAATAGTTTAATAATAATTTTTTTTAATAAAAATAAAAGATTCTAAATTTGAGTAGATTATGTATCAATGGGATGGGTTAAAAGATAAGAAAAAAGTTATTTTCTATCATGGAACTCAAGATAAAAAATAGAAAAAAAAAAACTATTCTCATGAAATTATGAAACTATATTGTGAAATAAGATTGTATGTATACTATTAAGCTCTATGAAATTCAAAAGAAATTACCATTTAGTCATTGTGTACTTGAAAAGTAAAATGAATTTATGTGCCAAAAAGAAAATGCAAAATATCACATAATAAAAGAAAAAAAAAAGGAAAAAGAAAGAAAGAAAGAAAGAAAGAATGTAAAATTAATTTGATTTTGGATATTGGGTTGGTGGTCCAATTAAATTTGGAGTGGCTTACGCCCAGTAACGGCCCTTTAAGAAAAGGCACAAGAAAGGCCCAAGTGTTCCCGAGGTATAAGCCGAGGCAATCGTCTTCTCCGTTTGTTAGGGTTTGTCACCAAAGCCGTAGCTCACTGTAAGCTTCTCTTCCTCTACAGCTCTTCTTTCCGACCCATTTCCTGAAACTTCAAATTAAGGAAAATTCTCTGCAAAAGATTTGTTCTTTCTGTCAAATTCAACCGATTTTCAGTGTTCCATAGCTTTGTTGTAGTGCGAAAGGGGCAGTCTTTATTCTTTCCGTGACTTTGTTCTTGGGCCCCTTACTATCTTTTCTGCTGGAAACAGGTGATATTGATATTGTTTGAACAGGGTGATACTGATATCCAGCTGCAATGTATCTTCAGTACTACATCAACGAGAATGGTGATAAAGTGTACACCACTAAGGTATCTCTTGCTGATTATTTTTATGCTACCTGGAAAGTATGGAAACTGGGTTTCAGATTATTCAAAGCAGTTGCTATAAGTTTTCTTGCCTGCCTCATGATACTTGTCTTTAAATTGGAACTTATTATGCAATGAAATTTGGTGCTTCAACATAGGAGATTTATCTTATATTAGAATGCCAAAAACTAGTTTTGATAGATCTTCCGGTTAATAGAGTATTTTAATTCACAATGTTGTAAGGTGATTTTTTGTTCATTCTAAATAGATGGTTGATTATTCTACAATACTCCATTCATCCCAAAATAATAGACGTTTTTTGATTCAGAATTTGTCCCAGAATGATAGTCCTTTTTTCATATTTTAAGGAGGCAAATATTTTTTTCTCCTACAATAACCTTATCATTTTGACTTCAATAATCCCTCCTATCCTTAATCTAAAGATAAAACCAAAAAACATCTATCATTCTGGGATGGAGGGAGTGTAAATTACAGATTGGATAACTGAATTTTAAACCTCAGTAATTTCAAGGGATAGTTTGCATGAGTCTGTGTTTCGTAATCCTTAACAGCCCCATCCTGCTGCGAACATGAATTTTGCTTATATTATCTTATTTCATAACTGTTATCAGTCTTCTTATTTGTAAATTCACCATTTATTTCACTTCAGTCATTAAAAATTGAATTTCTCTTGCAGAAAGAATCACCATTGGGGTTGGTTACTCAATCTGCTCATCCAGGTAATATATCCTGATGTTTCAATCAATCTGCTATTTGAATAGTTAATTCAATTTTCATGGACTTATTTGTTTGTGCTTGATGATCTTGCTTTCATGTTGAATGTGTCATCTTTAGTCTTTAGAGAAAATCAGACAATATCATGCTTAATATAGCTGTTGATCTGTCAATCTTTCCTCCTAGAAAGGAAAAAGAATATAGCTGTCAATCTTTGTTTATTCTACTCCGGTCACCAGTTAATATCTGCTCAGTTGTGGTGTTGTCATGACCTATATTCTTCATTTGCTTAAATTTTGAGTGCTTTGATGAACTTGGAACATGTTCAAGTAGAGTTTTTCAGTTTAAAGCAGAGGAATCATTCTTGTTTTCTTGTTATTATTTAGCATGTTTTGCATGGTAGAATTCCTATTTTGTTGCCATGTTTTTAATGTCATTGATATGCTCTTACATCCTTTTTTCTTTTATAAACTGCAGCTCGATTCTCCCCTGACGACAAATACTCGAGGCAAAGAGTTCTTCTGAAGAAACGTTTTGGTTTGCTGCCAACCCAGCAGCCACCTCCCAAGTACTGAACAGACAGATCTCTTCTACTGCACTTTTTGAAGCTTACCTTCGGAGATGGCAATGAGTAAGTAATGGAGTATTTTTTTCTTATTGTTGCTGTGTAATACAGTTTATCCTCCACTATAATGTAGCAGAAGTGATTTAGGATCATGGTGTTAAGAACTTCACTAGAAAACCATGTGGCATGAATGCATGTAGTCCTTTTCATTTTTGTGCCTGCTAAAAAGAATGCAAGATTTAATTTAGGAATTAAGGAAAATCATGACATCCTTGAAATCAAATGTCAAGAATGATAATGAAAAGACTTAAATGTCCTTAATGAATCAACACACAAGGAAGGTTCATTAAGGGTATTTGAATAACTTTACATGTAATCTAGAAATTTTAATGTCGAAACGTTTTGATTCCCATTTTTTTCTATGAAATTACGAATGAGTGAGTAATGATAGGCGGGGCAAAAATTTAGAACCAATGATATGACATATGTTACGTTATTAAATTAGTTGATACATATAATATAATGGGTATTAAAAAAAAAGTTAATCATTAAATAATATAAAATTTATTTTTTAATATTTTAAATGACGTAATTTATACCACATTATTGATCTCAAATTTTGATCTCAAATTCTCATCACATTTTTCATTGTTCTTTACCAATTTGCTTTGGAGTCAATGTGGTTAAGTAATATGTACAACCTTATTGAATCATAAGGAAGCTCAAAAAACTCCTTTCTGAGCACAAGTGATTTGACCGTTCCTCATTATTTTCATATACCAGTATCCAGAGCCAGCTTTTCACATTGCCTAATATTACCAGGTTGATGCCAATGCATATGCAAGAACTCTCTCTTGTCCCCCTCAGACACAATATCACCAGCGGTGCCTCATCCTACAGGGCACATGACGGTGCTCCATTGGTCCCCTACGAGTTCTTGAAATCTCTTTGGGTTTGGGGGGGCATATCAGAGAGGTGAAAAGAAGTTGTAATCTGTGAGGGCATCATGAAGCAAATTAAGCCACACTCCAATAGTCTCGACAAAGATCTTAAAACCAGAAAGAGAACTTCAAAAGCATACCTCGAAACCCTGCATTGAAGTCATAAAGTAAGCACAGCGTCCTATCCCCTTTTTCTCAATACTGCCTGAGTCACAAGTATCATGGGACTGCTCAATGTGTCTTTCTTCTTATCCACATCTAGTGTGTTTTTGTGAATGCTGAAAATTAGAAGGAATCGAAATGGATTTTGCAATTTTTGCTCCTAGAGAAAAAAAGTTAGTTTCTGTCCTCCAATTGAAGGATAACAGCGATAACTGAGATTGCATTAACTTCTGTCTTGGCGTAGAGGAAAACACCAAAAGAAGAAAAATGTAGGCCTTATCCCGCGGCTGAGGCTATTCCCACAACTTTTGTTAAGGCATTAATTTAACTGTAATTTTATTAGTTTAAAATTTTTTAAATAGTTAATTATGATATTTAAAAATAATTATTTATAAATTAATT